GTTCACCTTACGCACCCTTATCACCAGGTTCACCTTACGCACCCTTATCACCAGGTTCACCTTACGCACCCTTATCACCAGGTTCACCTTACGCACCCTTATCACCAGGTTCACCTTACCACCCTTATCCTAAGGTGAACCTGGTGATAAGGGTGCGTAAGGTGAACCTGGTGATAAGGGTGCGTAAGGTGAACCTGGTTGCACCCTTATCACCAGGTTCACCTTATGCACCCTTATCACCAGGTTCACCTTATGCACCCTTATCACCAGGTTCACCTTACGCACCCTTATCACCAGGTTCACCTTACGCACCCTTATCACCAGGTTCACCTTACACACCCTTATCACCAGGTTCACCTTTCTAATTCTTTACTTTTCTCTATAGCTTCTTTCTCTTTTCGGTCTTTTTCTACCTCTACTCTTCTGTTTTTTTCTTTTTCTTGTTCCTGATCTAACCCTCTCTCTTGCCATTGTATTCTTACTGATTCTCGCTGTGCTTCTGCCTTAAGTCCTCCCCAGGGGGCATTATTTGTCAGATTTCCACCCGGCTGTAAGGGTCTGAAGGAATGAAGTCCATTCCATGGGTCTTGACTTATTACGATAGGATGCCCTTTTGCAGAAGGATCTACACCGCCAAATATTCCTGAATTACCAACACCTGCAAAACACAACAGTAAAATCGACATGACCCTGTAATTATAAGAATATGAAATACTTGATTTAAAGATTTGGCATTTTATTAAAACCACGCAAGATAATGGGTTACTTTACACAAGATGAAACACACACATTTATATAGTCAATCTAAAAATAGCTAAAAAAAATGTTTAAGGGTCAGGAATTTTTTTCTTTTTATCATTGTGTTTGACATAACATTTATTGGATATATATATATATACATACAAACTGTCCAAACTTTGTTTCTTTTTTCTCTGCATTGTAAGGTCTGCAAATGTTTGATACAAACCTGGTGTTCCAAATTCAGGGTAAGGATTGGAAGGGCCACTCACAAATCCTCGATAACCAGTCCGAACAAAAGGTGAAACACCACCTGAAGAAAGAACGGTAAGTTAATATCTTACAATTTCCAGGATAACAAGGCCTGGAGCCCCTTGGCCCATCGCCGCTGCCCCATTCATTTCATCAAGCATCCACTTGCCCATACCCAGTTATGACTTCTCAAGATTAGTAAATTTCTCACCTCTACTCCAGGGAATACAAAAACAAAGTTTCTGTTGTCAACACAACCACATTTCTGTTTTGTATTTTCACAACATTAAGTTATTTTAGCTGGTTGTTATCTTGAGGAAGGAAGAAAAGAAAGTTCAA